AACAGCTTCTGAGTAATTTTTCAAACGCGTCAGCACCGTCGACGGCCACCGGAACCACCGTCCGCCACTAGGACCACTGTTCAGGCCACCGGAGCCGTTTTCCGGCGACTTTTCAGACCAGACGTCGCGCGATCAGAACCGTCTCCTCCTGGCGATCAAGTCTGTGGAGGTCCGGTCACCAACGCATCCCTCACGCACCGTCACGCGCCGCCCACATCCTCTGCGCATAGGCCTCACGCGCCACCTTCTACCGGCGCGTGTGCACTACTCCGGCGGCTTTTTCCGGCCGGTCTTAGACAGAGAAGCTCACCTTCTCCTCCCCTTTCTGGATCTGTGATTGTTTTTCTGTGGGTCTGACTTTAGACGCGTGGTTCTCCTTGATTGGATATCGTTTGCCTTCGTTTACGGCTTTTATATTTTATCTTTAAATGACAGCAGCATCTCCTGATCTCTCGGAGGTTAACTCTCCTTCTATTGTTGCAAGCTCAGTCAGACAATGCATCATTTGGTTCAGGTTTGTACTATGCTGCACTCCAAACTCCTCTCAGGAAGGCTTCTCCTCAGTCTCAGCCTTATACTGGTAATCCCGTTGCTTGTGTTTCTCATTCTACATCACTTGGCACTTGGATATTTGACTCCGGTGCTACCGATCATCTCTGTGGTAATAAGGAACTCTTTACATCTCTTACTTATTCTGATCATTTACCGTCTTTTACCCTTGCGGATGGAACCAAAGCCCCAGTTCGTGGGATTGGACAAGCTCGTCTGACCTCTACCTTGGCCCTGACATCTGTCTATTACATTCCTGGCATCTCTTATAACTTAATTTCTATTAGTAAGTTGATCTACTCCCTCACTTGCACCATTACTTTCTCTAACCATTCTGTTTCTGTGCAGGATCCGGGTACGGGAAAAATGATTGGAGTGGGTCGTGAGTCACGGGGGCTTTATTATCTGGATGTGCCTCGTCCTTCAGTAGCATGCTCTCTCACAGAATCTCCACAACTTATCCACAGTCGCCTTGGTCATCCAAGTCTTTCAAAGTTGCAGAAAATGGTTTCTCTTTTGTCCGGTCTTCAGTCTTTAGATTGTGTGTCATGTCAACAAGGGAAGCATACACGCTCCTCTTTTGCCAGTCGAGTCAATAAACGAGCTGATGCCCCTTTCTCTCTTGTTCATTCAGATATCTGGGGTCCAAGTCGTACCTGTCTGTTTTAGATTTTCGGTATTTCGTTACCTTTATTGATAATTTTTCCCGTTGCACTTGGACCTATTTAATGAAAAATCGTTCTGAGTTATTTTCCATTTATAAAAAGTTTTCTACTGAGATTCATACTCAATTTGGTGTTTCTATTCGTATTCTACGTAGTGATAATGCTAAGAAATATGTTTCTATTGATTTTTCTAATTTCTTGGCCACACAAGAGCTATGTTGAGATATATAAAACCATTAATGTAGCCTCACCCAACAACTTAAGCTTTTGGGTTGAATTGGTTTTTTACATGGTGTCAGAGCCTCGCCGCCCCCCACTTTCTCTTGTGGCATTTCTTAGCACAGGTAGGCTGGGCCTATTGTATTGTCCACTCTTCAAGCCCAATGGGCTCTCGTGTGAGGGGGTATGTTGAGATATTTAGTCCCACATTGGTTGTATGTGCAACTAATGTAGAGTTTATAAGATCTTGCGCACTCCCACCCTTTGAGCTAGCTTTTGGGGTGGTGTATCCCAAGGTTCTTTACATAATATATAATGTATATTCATTTTCATGATTTGTATACTAGTTACGTTAAAAATATTATGATTATTAATTATGATAATTAAGAACACTGTACAGGTACGAGATTGTACAGATGATAATAACAGATTGAATAATGAATTAAACATGGCAATACATATAAAAAGAAAAGAAAAAGTTTACTCACCTAATTACACTAGGTAATGGTGAAATGAAAATAAAGTCTTCCGCTAAAGAAATTTTCATGCGCATAAAAGTACCATATGTAAGTTAACAATCCGATTATGAAATTGGGGCGTTACAACCGGAGCCACCGGACTTGAGGTTTTTCGTGAAGGAGCTGGAGCGCAGCTATGAACAGCAAAAGTTGTGTATGTGTGCAAAGGACAAATGAAGAGATGGGTCTAATGGCCGACTTGAGAAATAGGGCCAATTTTTTCTCATAATGGGTCATCAGGCCCAAATTACTCTCAACCCGCCCCAAGTCCAAACTAGTAGCGTATCTACCTTTACATTAAAGAGAGATTGGGTTTGTGGGTTAAGACTATATATGACCTGATTAGACCTAAAATATTTGGTCCCTATCTAGCAAGCCCAACAACTATAACAAAAGCGGAGCGAAGAATCCTTATGAATGGCTGGGCAGGAAATAAAGAATCTCAAATGAGCTTTCTGGGTAACGATTCCAATGGTTCAAAACTTTCACTCTCTCGCTTGATATGTCATGAGTAATATAGGTGCTAGGGGCGCAAAATTCGCTGAGAAAGAAAACAATGTCAGAGGAACTAATTTCCACCTTTTGCAACCTCTATCATTCCGCTTTCAATGCCTTTACAAAATCTATGGATCTTCGACCTTTTATTCTCGATTTTGCGCCATCAGCCTTGTGCAATGCTTTCATTGCTCCACTTCTGGAGCAAGTACAAATGAAGGAACGATGTCGACATTTGCGTATAAGAGGGGTTCTCCGAAATGGGCATTAGGGATTGCCATGTGACTCGGGTGGTGTTTATTTTTGGGTCTTTTTTTCTGGAGTGGCTGGTGATAGGTGCTTGTAAAAATGACCGAGAGAGTGGAGGATCTGTTTTCAAACCCCTTGTTGGAGGGGCATCTTCAAGGTTATGCGTTGGTGTAAGGTACCTAAATGCATTACATTCTCATAGTGTAATGGTACGTGACAATTTTGTTTCAGCTTTTGGAAAAAGATACCAATTCTGTTGCGATTACATAAATATAGCACAAGATAATCTTGCAAGGCTATATGGCTTACCTGTAAAAGGAAATTTAATTGAGGCTAAGGTTGTGTAGGAACAGCTTGGTTCAATTATAGGAAGCTCAGAACTCATAGTTACATTCTATGTTGATTTTTTGGACTCTCTCGTTCACAACCATAATGGGGATGGCAAACTACAAGTCGCAATTTTTGTTCTTATTATATTTTTCAGAGATTGGGAGAAAGTTATAAGGGGGGCTATTGAACAAAATTATGTTGTTGTCCTTTGTTTGCTTAAGTTGATATTTAGAAGTTGTCATATTAAATTAGCCTATTATGGACAGCAGGAACTGTAGCAAAGTCTTCTAACTGCATTTCAAGCACTATTTGAAGGGGTTGTTAACCTTGAGATGAGCAAGATGGCAGCTACACAAGGGCGGATTCGGTTTGGCTCTAAGAGCACTATTATTGGAAGAAATCATTATGCTTTTGTCATAAGTTGTTTACCATTCAAGCAATGGGATCCCGGTGGAAGGTGCTTGGGGGCTAAACCTCACCTTGAGGACAAGGTGAGTGTTTAGGAGGGGAGTATTGATACAAAACCACCATGTAAAGTGTACCGTAGAGATAAAAATAGAAGGATTTGGGCCCCAAATGCAGATGTTGACCCAAGTGAAGATGCTGATTACGTAGAAGCTGACCCAAGTGAGGGTGCTGACTCAGCAAAACAGAATAGAAGCGTGGGAGAGCAAGGTAGTTACGGGGGAATTGGTTAAGTGTAGTGGAAGGGGTGCTAGAAGGAATCATCTGGAATTGGCATTCGAAGTGGAACCTTAGGAGAGAGTGAGGCCTCTTCAATTGTCTCATATTATCTTTTTACCTTTTTTCCTTGTTATTTCATTTCACAGCTCTTGTTAATTACCCTTTTTACTGTAATTGTTGTCACCGTTGTACTGTTATTAGCTTGTAATTGTCTCTTGAATTCCATAAATATACCAGAATCCAGTTTATTAGGTCCCAATCCCCTGTTCTCTGTTGTTGGTTCTGTGTTTGGTTGGAAGTCTCTACCATGTTTCTCCAGCTCCAGCCATACAGATTCAAGACACGTGCCAAAAGAATTAATGAGAAGCTTAGCCCCAAATTTTATGAACCTTTTATGATTCCTAAACATGTGGGACTAGTAGCATATAAATTAGATTTGCCAGCCGGGACCAAAATTCATCCCACTTTTCACATATCCCAACTCAAAAAGCTCATTGGTCCTTTTGTGAATCACCAACCACTACCCAGTTATTTGACTGAAGATATGGAGCTACAGCTCAGTCCTGAAATTCTTTTGGATACCATGTATTCTGTAGATGGATGCCTGAAAATGCTCTTGAAATGGCAAGGATTACCTACTTGCAAAAACTCTTGGGAATTCTATGATGACATTATGTTGCAGTTTCCCAAATTTCACCTTAGGGACAAGGTGGGTCTTAAAGGGGGAGGTATTGATAGGCCTGTTGCGTCCAGAATATACACACGAAGGAATTCTAAAATACCATGTGGGACCACAGACTATGCAGAAGCTAACAAGGATAAATGCACAAAGGAATGAAGGGTAGGTAGTTAGGGGAAAAAGGGGCAATTCTGTTATGGAAAAAGAATATATTAGGGAGTGAGGAAAAGAGCAGGAGGATGAGTATGTGAATAATTATGGGCACCTTTTTGGATATTTGGGAGCCACTGACTGCTCTGATTATTCTCTGGTACATATTAGATTAACATATATATCCAAACTTGAGGAGGAGAGTAGAAAATCAAATATTAATTGTTGTAATATTTTCTTGTATCAAGGATATCATCACATCCCTAATTTACAGGAATCAAATTAAGATTTGTTTCCTTTTTCTGAAATAGGATTAATTTCATAATTATTGAATTTCCTTTTTTACTCATAGGTTAATTTGTATATATTTTAACCTCCAATTGTTGATCAATCAAGTCAATACAGATTTCACAAAAACCATAGCTGATAGAAATACAATAATGAAGAAAATAGGGATCTTACCTGCAGTATAGGTAGCAAAAGAGCTGGATCAAAATCATTAGAAGATTGCAGAAGTCCCCATATCCTGAATATTTGATCTCTAAGATCTGTCATGCTTTGCATTTCAGCTTCTGACATCATAAGGGGTCCATTTGCATTGCCATTAAATACAAGAGTCCTCATAAAATTGGGAACTGACTTGTATGTATCAGAAACTGTGCTAAGAGTAAAAGCTTCAGTTATGCGAACAGCCTCTTTGATAACTAAAGTCCTAAGCTCTTCACCATCTGGACTCAATAATACCTTCAGGACGGGTTGTAAAGCCTCTTTAGCTGAGAAATCTCTGTCCTTTCTCCCCTGGACTAGCAGGTTTTCAAGTCTACTCCACCTGCACTGGACCAGAACAATGAATATTCAAGTACACTTACTCCAAATTATTCTATATTACCAAGTTCAACCAATGACGTATGGATTTAAAATAGCACTGATATGCATACCTGAACTTCCCATCCTTGAAAAGCAACTCAATAAGAGCATCTCTTAGATATGGATTTGGATCTGTTAAGAGCCTCTTAGCAAAATATGGGTATGAAGCCGCAAGCACCTTAAAATTGGGATCAGCATAAAGTGCTAGACCTTCTAAAACAGTGAGAGACCTCAGTATTAAAGCATAGTATGCTGGGACTGCCAACAGAAGGGGGGAAAAGAAGAAATCCAAATCATCAGACTCGGCAACAAATAGCAGGATCAAGTAGTAAATACAAAATATTCATAGAAGTACGTAATTACATCACTCCTCAACTACTGAAAATGAAAGTTGAGAAACAAATAACTAGATGTTTAATTCTATCTGTTAAAGTTGGAAGATTAATAACATTGTTATTGGTGTGCTTTTTTAAAAGTATGCATCCCATGTTCAAATAACCCAACAATGGCTACATAAAAAGACAGAAAAAAGAAAACAAAGTACTTGACGAAAATGAAAAGTCAATGAAAACCATAGTATAATCTCACCATTAAATGGAAATTGATACAAAACATTTCCCAGACCATCCACTAGTGTCTTGAAGTTAAGTTCACTCACAGTATAATTAAGTGCATCATCAAAAAAGTTTCGGAGTGCTGGTACAATTGGAGATACATCAACATCAGGTGATAGGAAATCTAGAGCATAGTAGTCACGAGCCATAGCTTCGTAGTCGCGGTTAACCAAGTGAACAACATGACCAATTATGGCAAATCTTGCTTCTTCTGGAGTCTCACTCATCATTCCAAAATCAAGAAAAGCAAGCTTTCCCTCGGGTGTTGCTAAAAGGTTCCCAGGATGAGGATCTGCATGGAAATACCCGTACTCAAGTAGCTGTCTGAGGCTGCATTGTATGCCTGTGGTCACCAGATCCAAGACTTTTAATCCTTGTCTCTCAATAGCTTGTTGGTCATTTAGTTTGACTCCATCAACCCACTCCATTGTTAGTACTTTGGCACTTGTATAATCCCAGAAAACATCAGGGACACATATATCTTCCTTGTCAGCATACAACTTTTTAAACCTCCTTGCATTTTGTCCCTCCTGCAGGAACCTGTCAAATTAAAATTCAATTCTAAAAAGAATATTAAATAATTTACAAATACGCCGACTTATTGTTAACATATAGGAAACATATCACCAAATAATTAATTATATGCAAGCCTTTTGCCTGGAAATTAGTAGTTAGGCAAAGGATTCAATGTTTGGTCTTTTTTGGTTTTTTGCATGAACAAAAAGCAATTAAGATAAGAAAAATAAACAAAAATACCAACTATGGTTATGACTAAAGAACTAACCTGCACATAGTTGAGCTCCTGAAAAACTCTGCATGCAAATTCATCAACAAGTGCAACAACATCAGTGGTGATTATGTCCACGTATTTATTTATGAGAAACCCTAGACCTCTTATCAAGTAGAAGTCCAATCCTATAGCCTCCTCAATGCTAGGACGTTGCACCTTGACAGCCACGAGTTTCCCAGAATACTTCAACTGAGCCTTGTAAACTTGACCCAAACTGGCTGCTGCTATGGGTGAAGGTGATATGGAAGAAAAAATAGAGTCAAGAGATAGCCCTAATTGCCTCTCAATGCATGCAAAGGCCTCATCATCCGGAAATGTAGGCAAACCATCCTGGTAAAGCACAACAATGGTGAAGATTGCCCAAGTTTTTTATTCCTTCATACATATCTTCACAGCAAAAAATATAATAATGGCTTGTACCCAAAAAAAAAAAAAAAATATATATATATATATATATATATATATAATAATGGCCACAATACTGCTACATCAGTGAATAGATTTTCACTGCATTGCAGTAACTTTGTTCAAGTCCGAAAAGAACCCATGTAGTATACACAAATGAAGCAACGAAGAGCATGCTATGATGGATATTGACATCAGTCACTAAACCAATCAAAGTTCTCACTTAGGCCCTGTTGGAATATCTAGAGGATATCTCTTATTATCACGATTATATATTAGAATAATTTAGACCTTTTTGATGAATTTTTAGGAATGATTTTCATTTTATTTTATTTTTTATATTTCATGATTTGTTTGGAAAATAGAGGGCGAGGCTGCAGCACTGAACCAGTGGTCAAGGTGTTCCTCTATGACTTAAAAGTCACGGGTTGAATCTAGCAAACAGCATCTTTACAAATAAGCTGTAATCGAATAAATACTTACTTAAGCTGATTCTCCAAACAGGACCTTAATGTTATTATGCTAAGTTAATCAGCGTGTGGAACATCATGTAGTGTACAAAAATAAAAAATAAAATATGCTACCGCAATGAACTAATAAATATGTCAAAAGGGAAGAGATCACACTTGAAGCTCAGAGAGCTCCTCCAGGTACTCTGGTGGGCATATGTCAGGCCTCGTGGACAATCCCTGACCCAATTTCACAAAAGTTGGTCCTAGCTGCGTGAATATTGTCCTGAGCTCAGCTGCACGCACTCTTCTATTCTGATCGAGCACTCCATTCCTCTGGTCCAAGAACAGCTTCAGCCCAAAAGAACCTAACGCAGTCAGAATCCGAAGGGTCCTTCGCACCACCTAACCACAACCAAAACACAAAAACGGGTCGAATTAATCTACAAAAACCCAATCCTACCCATAAAAGATCTTCCAAAAGGGTGTCAAAAAATCGATGAAAGGGAAGACCTTGATGGGTTGGGACCCATATTTAGAGGCAATGAGTTGCGGGCTGTAGACAGTGGCATTGGCGGCACGAGCCATGGCTCTGGCCTCAGCTTGCAGGTCATCGGCACGGTCCACTGGGAGGGTCAGAACCTTGATGGACCCATCCCTGAGTGAAGGTGAGGTGCTTGAAGGCGTTGCTTCGACCAGAGCAGCTACAGCGAGAACTGGTGGAGGGTTCAGGCGTGTGAGGTTGGTTCTGCCCTTTAAACGCCGTCGTGGGATTCGCTTTGAAATTGGAATGGGACAACGGGTCCATGAAGGACACGGGTGTGCCACCGTAACCATTTGTTGCTCTGATTATTGAGCCTCGTGGACAACGGAAAGCCAAATCTGAGTTTTTAGTTACAAATGGAAATGAGTCAAATGACCAGTTGAACGAAGGATAAACAAAATTGCACTTGGACCATCTATTTTTCACGGAAATGTATCTCCTTATTTATTTTTAATATGAATATGCCACGTGGGAATATAGGGTGATGATTTTATAAATATTTATTTTAATATTTTCTTTTTTTATTATTATTGATTTATTTTTATATTATTATAATCTTTTTTTGGAGTTACCCAACCCTAATTATCTCTTTGAAACGAGTTGGCTCCCTCCGGTATCCCCACGAGCTTCGACTCTTTGAGCCGGCTATGGGACTAATCCGGAGTGCAGGGAAACAGTGATGGCTAAAGGTTCAGCCCCCTCCCCAAGAATGCATTCAGCGGTAATCGAACACATATCCAACCACACTAACTCAGCGCCAAGTTACCAACTGAGCTGCACCAATTGGATATTATTATAATCTTTTAATATATCATGATCATTATGATCATGTAAAATAATACATAAAACATGTATTTCCAATTTTCAGATTTTTTTTTTTTTGTCAAACAAATGGAAATGAGTCAAATAACTAATTAAAAGAAGGATAAACAAAACTGTGCTTGGATCATCCAATTTTCAGGTTATTTGTGTGCACGCAAAATAAACACAAACGAAAAAATATTCTTAAAAAAAACTTTAAAAAAAAAAGGAGGCTAGCTAACGTGAATACTTTTCTTTTAAATGAAAAAAAATTATAGCTTTACATCTAAACTATTAAATTATATTTATCAGGACAATATAAATTATAAATATATATTTATTTATTTATATTTAAAAATATAAATATTTCTGTGATTTTAATTTTTATAATAAAATAAACTACTTCAACAATATTTTTCTATGAGCATTTTTTTTTTTTTTTGTTACATTACCAATTGAGAAGTTTTTGTAATTATTTATACTTCTCTATTAGTGCTAGTAATAGTAAGTTTCATACGAGTAGAATAATCCTTGTTAGTCCATCAATTTTACCTCTGTACAAGGTTAAAGAATTAGAATGTAAGTGTATAAAAGATGAGGTGGATATGTAAGTTAATGGGTGTAAGTAAATGTGGATAACATTATTTATAAGAGTAATTATTACCTTCATCTCAAAAAATCTATCAATTTAGAAAATAAATTTTGTTTTATTTTGACTGTTATTTTAAAAAGTTAAAATATACTAATTATTTTTAAAATTCATTTTTAATATCTCCGTTAGATGGAATATGAGAACAATAGTGAAAATAAATGTATAAAAATAGAAAGAATGCATGGTGTGACTTGTTGGTTATACAAACTCATAAAGAAATTACAAATGAATGGAGGTCAATCTCAGTAGACAACAAATCTAGGAAGCCAAACTACAATTGACAAACTTGATAAGGATAAATTGCGTGAAGTCGTGAACTAAATTAGTTGGGATTCCAAGATTGTCATAATCCATTATTATTAAGTTAGGGAAAAAAATTACTCTTATGTTATATGTGATAAATTTTTTTCTACACACTCTTTGATAACTGTGCTATCTTTTTTTTTTCTTTTCTTTTTATTTTTTAAGTGATGGAGCTCACAAATTTATCTCTGTGACATGAGATAATTTATCTCTGTGACATGAGATAATTTATCTCCTTTAACATGAGATTAATAAAACCCGGAGCCGTTTGGTATGCGATATTTTTCAGGATTTCCAGAAAACTGAATTTTTTTAAATTTTTAATTTTTAGATATTATCATAAATTGAATGTAAAAATTATATTTCTGAAAATCGAGATTTCTGAAAAAAAAAAAAAAATCTCTTTTATCAAATGCCTATATGTGAGTACATTAGTAAGTATACATTTAACTTGGAGAAATATCTTAACCTTGGGAAATAACAGCGACCTGTCCTTATATTGGCGTTCACCAAAGAAGAAAACAAGGAAGCTCCAGATTTTTTTATTTATTTTTTTTATTTTTTATTTTTTCTATCTTTGTGGCCTCAAAATATTTGTGTGGTAGCTAACAAATGCGTACACTTGTGGTCATGCCAATTCAAGGGATCAACGAATTATTAAAGAAGGTTTACGATATATACAATTTCATGCTCTCGAGTTTCAACCAACTCTTTTCCGGGCTTTTCCTCTAAAATTCTTAATAAACCAACCAATATTTATTATCTGGAGTAAAAATAATTTTGGATCTCTAATAAAAGATATGATCCCTATTTTCGTCCTTACAAAAGAGAATATTTGTATTAATCTTTTTTTAAGGACTAAATTGAGTCTTCATTAAATTTTTGAAAAATCATATTTTTAAAGAACTGAAATCGTAGAGATCAAAAATTGATTATTATTATTTTTCGTAAGGGACAAAAATAAAAATAGTATATTTCGTTAGAGACTTAAAAAAAACTTTACTCTATTATCTATCTTATTCACCTGAATGACCCACGCGATTGTACAAAAGAGTTGTGGGACTTCCCTTTTCAATAGCTTTTTTTTTTTAAATAAGGGAAGAATACAATAAAATTAGCTACGTGAGCTACACAGTCTAAGACTACCGCTCCCTACTTTAACTAAGTGAAGGAGAGGCATACAGCCCTCAGGGGGTTGAATAAGAGTACATAAATTCCAGTCGTCATGATCATGGCTAAAACCTGCTAGCCAATCCGCTACTGCGTTTCCTTCTCTGAAAGTGTGAGATAACTTGGTCGACCATGGACCTGCCAGGCACCTCCTAATTCTAGATACAAGAGGATGAAAGGGATGGTGGCTAGGGCATCCAGACAAAATGAGCTGAAATGCTACGAGGGAATCACTTTCCACCCAGACATGTTTGAAGCCAGCGCTCCAAGCGATCTCAATCCCATGCACAAGCCCCCAAAGCTCCGCTCTAAGTGCTGATCCACTGCCAGTGTTCCGATGAAAACCCGTTACCCAGGCACCAGAATCATTCTGGATAACGCCTTCGCAGCTGGACTTAATGCCACCATTTGAGCTAGACTCGTCCACATTAACTTTAACCCAGCCAATCGGGGGAGCTCTCCAATAGACGAAAAGTTCGACTCTGGCGTCCTTGTGTAGCCCGCTGTTAAGGAGTTTTGCCTTAGCATTTGTCCAGCTTCTAGCATAGTCCAGGCTCTTCCCTATTAACCCATATGGGGAGAATGTTTCCCCCTCAAAAATGAATTTGTTCCTGGCTTGCCAAATATACCAGCACATAATGCCAAAAACCGTACTCTAACTCACTCCCAGGGAAGCAGAAATCGTCTTGTCTTTGAGATTCTCATCAATCCAAGCATGGAAGTTAGCGTGGAAAAATCTCAACCGAAGACTACCATGAACAAAACACTCCCACAACTGTTTGCTTTTGGTGCAGTCCCTCAAAACATGGAGGCAGTCTTCTAGGTTGTTGTCGCATCTAGGGCAGACTGCAGAGGGAGTTAAGTGGCGATCCCTTCTTTTGGCATTGGTCAGTAGCTTGTTACCTTTAAGAAGCCATAGAAAGGATCTAACTCGTTGAGGGTCATCCTACCTCCAAACGAGCTTCCAATCATATTGAGCAAAGACGTGGGGTAAGTCCAGGATGTCATAACAAGCAGATTTCATAGAGAAGACTCCATCATTTGTATGGTCCCACACAACCATGTCAACTCCGTGGGATGGATTGGGGGGAACGATGGCAGCAATCTTAGCGCAGGCCACTTCATCCAGGCAAGAATGCAAAGTGGACCAGTTCTAGTAGCCATCAGCAGTAACCAGTTTGTCCACCGTCCAGGAACTGTGATCGTGGGGAATGTCAATGGTAGTTAGAATATTTCCTCTAAGGATCCATCTATCTGACCAGAAATTGGTACCCGTACCGTTACCAATTAGGCTACTAGATCCCTTCATTACATTGGGTCACACTTTGACAATTCCTTTCCAAAGGAACGAGGATGTTCTCGTGGAGGAAAGACGAGGGATCAGGTCCTCCCCAACCCTATATTTGCTCTTAAGGACCCTAACCCAAAGGTCATTTCGATGAGTAAGTAACCCGTGGCCCAGCTTCATCATAGCTGCTTGGTTCATCAAGTGGGCTTGCCGAATGCTAAGGCCTCCTTCCTCCTTATGCTTGCAGACTTTATCCCAGGCAACCGCATGGATTTTGCGCTTATCTGTAGAAGAACCCCAAATAAAGTCACGAACCTTTTTGTCAATTTCCTTGCACATCTTAACAGGGAGAGGGCAAGACATCATAGTGTACAAAGGCAATGCAGACATAACAGACTGAGCCAAGGTTATCCTTCCTGTAAGAGAGAGAGAAGCTTTCTTCCAAGTAGCTAAGCGCTGGTCCATCCTCTCCAAAACATAACCGAACATGGAGAAATTCATCCTGCCATGAATCATAGGGATGCCTAAATATTTTCCAAGATCAGGGGTTGAGCAGAAACCTAATGCTTGGGAGATTTGAGACATGCAATTATGGTTAATGTTACTTGAAAAGAAAACTCTGGTTTTCTCCCTGCTAACCGTTTGGCCAGACGAAGAGCAGAAGCATTGAAGAATTCTCGATATAAGCTGGGCTTGTTCAAGTGATGCTTCTGCAAAAAGGAGCAGGTCATCCGCAAAAAATAGGTGGGATACTGGGGGACCACATTTCCTGCCTTTTCAATAGCTTCGCCCCTATCATTTGGATTGTTACTTCGTTTTCATCCAATCAACTTGAGTAATAGAATTATAATGTTACGTCATGTGTTTCAGCTATTTTTCAAGTGTTAGACTAATTTGCGATGCAAGCGCACTTCATATTCTTTAAAATTCAGAGTCAGAAAATATATTTAATTTTTTATTCAGATATTTTTATCTCATTTTTAAATTATTTATATTAATTATACACTATATAAATTAAAAATATTATATAATATCAAAATGTGTCCTAACGTGTCGAAATTTAACATTTTTTAGAATTAACGTGTCGGAGTGTTGTGTCGTGTCGTATTTCGTGTCCCGTGTCAGTGTCGATGCAACATAAGTCATAGAAACAAATC